AAAAAGAATTTTGGCTTTTATTCTAAATGAAAAGAGATGCAGCTGGAGAGGCCTGAGCAGTGAAGTGACATGATCTGACTTATGTTTTATCTAGGGTCACAGTAACTGCCGTGTAAAAGGGGAAAAACCTAACACAAGAGTGACTGTAGGGAAGTTTCCACAGTGAACTTCCTGTAGAAATTCATATGGGATCTAATGGTGTCTTGTTCCATTAATCAGTAGCAAGGAAGGAGGTAAGAAGTGGTGGGATTGTGAGTACATTTCAAAGCACATCTGCAGGACTTGTTACGTACTGGGTTTAGATAAGAGGGAAATAACTTGTAAAAAATGCCTTCAAAGTTTTGGGCCTTAGCAATTGGAGAGATGGAGTTGATATTTAACAAGGGGAGACTCAGACAGCAGCAGATTTAAGACAAAAATCAAACTTTGAACATTGCAGGCAGGTGGATAGTTACGGCTGGAGTTTAGGAGACAGAATAAAGCCTATAAATGTCAGGCATGGTGGAGCACACCTTTAGTGCAAGCACTCTGGAGGCAGAGGCAGGTGGATCTCTGCAAGTTCAAGGCTAGCCTGGTCTACATAGCGAGTTCCAGGCCAGCTGGGGCTACAGGGAGACCCTGTCTCAAAAAAAAAAAAAAAAAAACCCCAAAAACCCATAAGGTGGAATGAAATCACCAAGAATGTAGACTGAGTAGAGTATTCACTCAATAACTGAACCCTCAGTGCCCCAACATCTACAAAGTAGTACAGTGTGGGAACTCAGGTGAGTCTGAGCAAGAATGGTAGGTAAGGGGGAAAGCCAAGAATGAGCATTCCTAAAGGGAAAATTAAGAAAAGCTTCAGAACTGGGTACTGTGGCTCATACCTGGAATTCCAGCCCTCCAAAGGGTAAGGCAAGAGGATGGCCATTAGCTTGAGACTAACCTGGCTACACAGTAAGTTCAGGCTACTCTGTCTCAAAAAAAAAAAAAGAAGATGCTTTAACTCTGATGAGTACTGGGATGTACTGGTTGAGTACTGGTTGAACACTTGCCTAATATGCACAAGGCCCTGGATTGATCTCAGCACCACCAAACAAGACAAAAACCTGATAACCAAATGCAGTATGAAGCCTTTCACTGGATCCATATTAGGGAAGGAACAGATATACAGAACATTTGTGGGACAACTTGAAAGAATTCAAATATGAGCTAAATATTCAAGGATAAAATTGTATTACTGTCTAATTTGGGGGGACTGATAATGGCCTTAAATTATAGAATGTGGGGCTGGTAAGATGGTTAAGAGCACTGGTTGTACTTCCAAAGGACCTGGGTTTGATTCCCAGCATCCACATGGAGGCTAACAACCATTGGTAACTCCAGTTCCAGAGGATCTAATGCCCTCTTCTAGTCTCCGCAGGCACTGCATGCATGGGAACATTTAAATATATACAGGCAAAACACTCATACACATACAATTTTTAAAAATTTAAAACGTTTTAAATTTTAGGATGTATCTGTTCTCCTGGGAGATACACATGCAAATATTCAGGAATGAAGTTGACACGATGCTGGGAAATTGCTTTAAAATATAGTGGAAGGGCACATGAGCTAATTCAATGGGTAAAAGCACTTGCTGCACAAGCCTGATGACCTGAGTTTAATCCCTGGAACCCAAGTAAAGGTGGGAGGAGACAGCCAACTCCATGGGGTTGTCCTCTGGCCTCCACACTCCCTCCCATCATACACATATACACAACAATAAAATAAATGTAAACTATTTGAGAGAGACTGGATGGATGAGAGAGAGTGAGAAAATATAAAAAACTGTCAAAATGTTAACAACTGGGGAACTTAAGGGAAAGGAGGAGGTGCCATACTGAGAATCACTGAAATAATGAAATGTACCTCCACCCCCTCGAGTTGTGTAATCCTTGGGAAGTGACAGGATCTTTGCATTCTGCACTGAGGTAGACTCTTCAACTGACTTCTGTAGCAATAGTGCCTCAGCATCCTGAAGCTTTGAGGATCCCTTTTCAGATTCTCAGTCTTGATTTCCAACAAGCAACCTCTGAATTGACAGTGAAGACAGAGTTGCGCCATGTTGTATTTACTGGGCTTTACTGTGTACCAAACACTATGTTATAAGCATATTATGGTCACTGACTCATTTAATCTACCAACCATATAGAGGAAGCCAAAAGCCATTTAGCTCATCAGGAGCAGAGCTCCCTGCACTCCTTTCCCAAGGAAACACAGACTGCTGAGATATTTAGGAATCATAACTTATAGGACTTAGGTATAGTACTGGTGTATTTCTGAGAAATAGGGCGGAGTTTTACTTTGAAACAAAACAAATCATCTTTAGTCCTGACCAAGATGATTAAGATCTTCCTGATTAAGTGGGACTTTAAAAAAAAAAAAAAGAACTATATCTGCATCTAACATAGGATAACCTGCCACAATGGGAAAAATATTCTTACTTTTTTTTTTGTTGTTGTTGTTGTTGTTGTTTGAGACAGGGTTCCCCTGTAGCCCCAGCTGGCCTGAAATTCCCTATGCAGACAGGTTGGCTTTGATCTCACTGATATCTACCTGCCTCCCAAGGTGTTGGGATTAAAGGTGTGTGTCACCACACTCAGTGTAAGGTTCAGGTACTTCAATTATCTCCAAATATTTACACTTGTATTATTCAAGAACAAGAGTATTTGACTCTACAACCTATGATACCATCATCCACTGGAAAATAAACACTGCTTGGGCTGGAAAGATGGCTCAGCAGTTAAGAGTGCTTGCTGCTCTTCCAGAGGACCACAGCTAATTCCTAGCCCCCATGCTGAGTGGCTCACAATAGCTTGCAACTCCAACCTGGGGATCCAACATCCTCTTCTGGACCCTGTGGGGGAACATGTGTGCTTAGGCACACACACATGCATATGTACACACACACACACACACACACAAATATAAATAAAACCTCAAAAATAAAACTTTAGCCAGGTGTCGTGGCACATGCTTTTAGTCCCAGCACTCAGGAGACAGAGGCAGGAGGATCTCTGTGAGTTCAAGGCCACCCTGGTCTACATAGTGAGTTCCAGGTCAGCTGGGGCTACAGGGAGACCCTGTGTCAAAAAAAAAAAAAAAAAACCAAAAAACAAAAAACTTTAAACAGTGCTACTTAATATGAAGCCCATATTCAAACTTCTTCCAGTCTGTTCCACAAACAGAGGCACAGACTATAAGAGCAAATTCTAGTACTAGTGCTGAAGGACGTGATTTGAGACAGAGTCTTAGTTGCCCCACTGTGAACAGATGGCAAAAACTTAACTGCTTAAGGTCACAAAGGGATGGAATAACAACAATGACCACCTTTTGCAAACTAATCTATTGTGCAAATGCTACAAAGGCTGAAAGTCAGGGAAGGCTGCCTTGGGGTGGTGGTCCTCAATGGTGGCAAGTTGATATCATTTTAGATGTCAAACAGCTGGCTATACTTTCTCAAAGATCCTCCTCAACCCAAGCAGGAGGTTATATAAATTTGTAAAAATATACATCTTGCTGGGTAAGGAGGCAGAGGCATGTGGATCTCTGTGAGTTCAAGATCAGCCTGCTCTACATACTGAGTTCCAGGCCAGCTGGGGCCACAGGGAGACCCTGTCAAAAAGATACACACACACACACACACACACACACACACACACATATAATACACACATACACACACACATCTTAGTGCCTTGGAACAAAAGCTATTTCACTTTTTCAAAATTAAAAATTACTGTTTAGTGAAAAGGCTAAAATGAAACAGAAGTAAATGAAATGAAAAGTAGGGGCTAGGGATGTAGCTCAGTTGACAGAATGCTTTTCTAGCATGCAGGAAGCCCTGAATTCAATCCCTAGCACCATATGAACTTGGTATACTAGCTCATGCCTGTTATCCCAGCACTTAGGAGGTGGAGGCAGAAGGATCAGAAATTCAAGACCGTCCTTAGCTACATAACCAGTTCAAGATCATGATGTCTGAGATACACGACTGGAACTTTCTCCATTCCCAAGTACCAGTTATTTTCATTTTAACTGCAGAGAAAATGCAACCCACAAATATTTAATTTTTTCCTGAGTGAGCTCCTATGTAAGGAGGCTTCCTACTATCCTAAAGGCCTCCTCTCTCCAGGCACTTCACCTTCCAAAATATCCTCCCAAATATCAAAGAATTCTGTTTCTAAACATCCAATTGCATTCTGGGCATCTGGGGTGTAGCTCAGTGGCAGAGTGCTTGCCAAGCATATGGGAGGCTCTAGGCTTGATCCTCAGCATCACATATACACAAAGAAAATAGCAATGACATTCTCATTGTTAAAAGTTCTCAGCCCCTCAAACTAAGGCCTTAACGTCATGAGCTATAGCATCTAACCTCTGTCTTTCCATCTTAATCTTTGCTATCCCACTGTGCCTTTCACAGAAATATCTCACTTTTTCTCCCCCTGATAAATTTCTAACCATCCTGAATAGCCTGGCTCAAGAGCAACCTTCTTTCCCCATTGTCTGCTGGGCAAAGCTAATCACCCATTTTGAATGGCTGAACCTAAACATAGGCTGACACTGACCATCCACAATTCTACACATGTGTCTACATATTTATATTTCTCCTATACCATATTTGCCACTCTTTAGGACATATGCTGTTATTAAGTCTTTGTTTCTTCAGTGGCTAGCATGCCTTTTGGCATCTAGTTAGAGCTTACTAAGCTCCTGCAATATTGAATCCTCTTTGTTCTTAGCTGAATCACTAAATAAAGGAGTTGGCCACTGTCCAAACAAACTATGAATTATCCAAGGCCACAGTGTGGCCGCCACTTAGGAATAAGACAAAATGTCCACTACCACTCATTCTGGGTCATCTACCCCTGGGCTCAACAACAGGTGGAATGAATGGATTATAAAAACTAGATTTTAGATGACTCAAGTTATGGAAGCAGTGTTCAGTGAGGCTGAAAGCAGAGGGTTTGATGTCACACCTGATGAAGGAAGAGTGGAAGTGCTCTGGAGTCCATCTGTTCAACCTCACCACGGATAAACGAGAAGAGAGGCTGCAGAGCTGGAGTTGGAGCTTCTGGTGGGTCATTAGCGTTCACTTCGGCAGCCTCCTCATCCAGAGCCTGCGAGGCTGTACTCGGTATCGTTCCTTGCGTTAAAGGTATAGCATCTCCTACAGGAAGTGAAGAAAATGCCCGTGTTAACAAAGATCCGCATCATGGAGAAACATTTGAAAACAATTACTCCTATTAATCATAAAACTTTCAAATAAAATTAATCATAGGAGGGGCTGGAAAGATGGCTCAGAGGTTAAGAGCACTGACTGCTCTTTCAGAGGACCCAGGTTTGATTCCCAGCACCCACATGGTGGCTACGAACCGTCCTTAACTCCAGTTCTAGGGGAATCAGAAGCCCTCTTCTGACTTCCGCAGCATTGCACGACACGGGTGCACTCACATACATGCAGGCAATACACTCATACACATAAAATAAAAATAATAAAATATTTTTTAAAAAATTAATCATATGAAAAACTCAGAAACCAGCCAGGATGGTAGTGCATGATGCTTTCAATCCCAGCACTCAGGAGGCATAAGCAGGCAGATTTCTGGGAGATCAGGCCAAGCCTGTTCTACATAGTGAATTCCAGGCTAGCTTGGGCTATAGGTATTATGGAAAAATTCTTCGAATAGCTAAGAGACCAAGCATTCACCAAGGAGAGAGTCAGAAAGTTTGTTTATTCCTTTCTCATGCATGAAGTCCTGGAATCAGCAACAAAGGCTTTTGGATTTTCCAGGTCTCAAACTGAAGTACAGATGAGGATTAAACAGACAATTTTAAGTCATCATTTTATGGTTAGCACCTGGGCCTTATGTTTCTTTTCATGATGGGCCATGTTATCTCAGGAAAATTCCTTCCCAAGGTCACTCAGACAACACAGCTTACAAACTAGATATCCTGACCCATAGTGGGTCAGGACGACTACCACCTTTTGCTCTATAGCTAAGCCAGGCTAATCGGGCTAGGACCCAGTCAAACAGTCCTTACACTTTACAAAAACTCTAATACCACCAGCAGAAGTTTAGAGACCTGACATGTTTCATCTACACTTCTCTTGGACTAACTGGACCAGGTACCTCATTAAACCACTTGGTGAACCTACCATTCTTTTAGTTTTACATCTTTATCAATAGTCAGACATCGAGAGTGGAAAGCATCACAGAGCTTCAAGATATTACAAAGTAACAAAACATTCCAGGGTAGTGAAAACACCATAGAGCAATAAAACATCTCTGAGCATCCTAGGGTTATATTTCAAGGTATCCACCCAGTAAGTAAAACATACGAACTTCGAATGGCCTAAGCTTACAAGGACATTATATAAGAATACAGTTAGTTATATATTCTTATATAATATTTATATAGGAATACTGTAACTTTTCCTTATCACAGGGAGACTGTATCTTAAAACAAACTCCAGGATTCACAAGTTATTGTCCACATTAAATTAAAATTGTGTGGGGCCAGCAAGACAACCTGAATTCAACCCCCAGGACCTACATGGTAGAAGGAGAGACCCATTTCCCATAAGTTGTTCTCTGACCTCCACATGTGTATACAAGCACACATTCGAACATAAATATGATAAAAAAAATTTAAAGACCCAGGTGTGGTGGTGTACACCTTTAGTCCTAGCACTTGGGAGGGAGAGGCAGGTGGACACCTCTGTGAGATGGAGGTCAACCTGGTCTCCATAGCAGATTCAAAGTCAGCTGGGGCTATAGGAAGACCCTGTCTCAAAAAGACAAAACATTAAAGATTGGGCTTATGCTGCATTGCTGCTATTAGCATACATGTAAACCACTTTTGCAGAATTATAATTAAGAGAATCAATAAAATGGGGGCTGGAGAGAGATCAGTTAATAAAGTGCTTAGTAAAGACTTGAGTTTAATTCCCAGAATTCATGTTTAAAAAAAAAAATCTGGGTATAGTGGCACACTCCTATAATCCCAGTGCTGGGGAGGCAGAGAGAGGCAGATCTCTGGGGCTCACTGGCCAACTAGCCTAACTTATGTGGTGAGTTCCAGACCAATAAGAGACTTTTGTCTTTTTAAAACAAAACAAAACAAAGGTGACTGCGCCTGATGAAGGACACCCAAGGTTATTCACTGGTCTCTGAGAGGGTAGACACATGTACACACACACACACACACACACACACACACACACAAACAATCTACCAATAGAAAGAGGTACAAAGAAATGTATGCAGATTACAGCCTGACCAAACACTTGATTCTCCCAAAGGGAAAACAGATTATAGTTTGACATTCTGGCTTCTCTCAAATAAAACAAATTTGAGCAGGAAAATAAGTGTGAGAAACTAAGCATTCTCTTTGAACTCTGGCCTGATAACATTACTTCTAGACCCCAGGAGTATGGTGGGAATTCAGGTGCCAAAGCTACCACCAGTAAAGTGTTTTTCCCTATGAAAAAGAAATAATGCGAACTTCTGAAAATCACTGACCCATCCATAGCTCCTGAATGCACAAATCTTAAATTTTAATGATTATAAATTGTAACCTTAGCCTTCACTAAAATCTATCAACTACAAAGTTCATGTTCCAATCAGATCAAATCAATCTACTTGTGCACCTTCAGCTAGTCTGTCTCAGAAAGGATCATTCCTGGTGATACAGGGATTTGCATGCACCAAAACTCAGGCTGTTTTCCTATGGTAGTATGCCCAGAACCTTGCCTTCCTCTCCTTCCAAACAAACCCACTGCTCCACCATACTGGCCCATTCTTCATCTCCCTAGGAAAATGCTCCATGCCGTCCTGAGCTGTTCCAGATTTTAAAAGCTGGAAGAGTTCACTCCCATCAGTACTATTTATTTCCTACCCTTACAAACTAAGTATCATTCCCTGTAACTATGATACTAAAGTCAGTTTACTTTCCTCTGAACCCTGCACCTGACTTTATTGGGTTTCACTACAGCAATTGGTGTAGCCACATCTTTATTAGATACTAACCCCTGCTTCACAGGGGTTGCTTTACGTATGATGTTGTATCAATTATAATCCAGCACAGTTGTCCTCAGCACCACATTCTCAAGGATTACAGTTCTTTTATGAAAATGACATATGTTGGGCTAGAGAGATGGCTTAGTGGTTAAGAGCACTGACTGCTTTTGGAGAAGACCGGGTTCAAATCCCAATGCCCACATGGCACCTAACAATGGTCCATAACTCCAGTTCCAGGGAATCTGACGCCCTCTTCTGTCCTCCATGGGCACTGCACACAAGGGTGCACTTGCATACACACAGGCAATACACTCATACACATAAAATAAAAATAAAGTTTTTAAAAAATGATGTATATTGACTTTTGTTAAGAGAATCCTTTTCTATAAGTTTTTACATTGGTTGGTCTCTAGATGTGTATGGTTCAGTTATGACTTGCTATTTTGCAATGACAGTATTTACAAAACCATGTTCTTTTTATTATTATTATTACATTTATTTACTTATTTATTTTGTATGTGCATATGTGTGTGCACATACCAAGGCATGTGTGTAGAGGTCAGAGGACAACTTGAGGGAACTGGTTCTCTCCTTCTATCATGTGGGTTCTGGGAACCAAACTCAGGTGGTCAGTCTTGGTAGCAAGCACCCTTAACCACTGAGCCATCTTGCTGGGCTAAGTTAATCTTTTCTGTTCTAATTTTCTTTTACTTTTTTTTTTCCTTTATGTGGTGCTAGAGGTGGAACCCGGGGTGATGGGCATGCTTAGCCCGCACTCTACTGTTAAGCTACATCCTAAGACTTTGCTTTCACGTTTTGTTTATTTTTATTTTAAATATATGAGTGATTTGACTGCATAGTAAGTGCAAATGCCTGCAGATGCCAGAAGAAAATGATGGATCCCTGGAACTAGAGTTATAGACAGCTGTGAGCTGCCATGTGGGTGCTAGGAACTAAATCCAGGTCCTCTGCAAGGACCAGTGCTCTTAACTATTGAGCCCCCCTTTCAAAATTTCTAATCACATGGTAGGACACAGGACTGAAAGGGCAACAGTGCAGGAATAGAAGGCAAAAATCTCACAGATGGCAGTAACTAATCAAGAGCAAAAAATATCAGACAGAATGGGGTCGTGAAAGATGCTACACAGAATTTAGCAAGGCCTAGAAAAGATAGTGGCAATCGGTGCTGGAGACATTGCTCAGCAGTTAAGAGCCCTGGCTGCTCTTGCAGAGGACCCAGGTTCAATTCCTAGCACTCACATGGCAGCTAACAACCATCTGTAACTCCAGTTCCAGGGAATCTCATGTCCTCTTCTGACCTCTGTGGGCACTGCATGACATGACACGTGTACTTACATACATGCAGGCAATACACTCATACACAAAATAATTTTTTTTTTTAATTTTTAAAAAGATTGTGGTCACACTACACTTTTATAATGATGGGGACACTGATGACATAAGTTATGAGGAGGATGTGTAGGCATGGGGAAAGGATAAGAAAGGCCAAATATATTTCAAAGGGTGCACACTAGTACTCATGACTATAGGCACACAGGCTTTGTTCATACTGTTCCCTCTACCCACACTGTCAGCTTTTAGAAACCACCACTGTAACCCCAGGAGTTAACACTGAACAGGTATTCAAATACATCTCAGGTGAGACCAGCTTGGTCTACATAGCAAGTTCCAGGCCAGCCAGGGCTACATAGTGAGACCTTGTCTCGAAAATAAACCAACCAAACAAAACCCCAAAACAAAATCAAACAGCATCTCAGGAAAACAGTTGCTGATGTGTATCTGGGGGCACTACAATCCCTACCCACTGTGTCCCAACACTGCTCTGGTTTCATTTCTGTTGTTGTAATCAAATACTCAGACAGAAAGCAACTTAGGGAACTGAGTTTACTTGGAATTCCAGGTTATGGTCCATTATTGCAGGGGAGTCAAGGCAAGAACTTGAAGCATTGCGTCCACAGTCAAGAGCAGAGAGAGACCGAACCCGACGATCCTTGTTTCCTTGCTTTCTCCTCTCTCATAAACTTCAGAACTCAGCCCATAAAAATGGTGCCACCCACATTTAGGGTGGGTCTTCCCACCTCAACTCAAATAAGACCTTGGCCACAGGTCCACCAGATCTACATAA